TCCTTGTCAGAAGACTGTGACCACAGCTGATAACGGATATAAACCATATTTAGTAGAATTGCAAATGCTGCTTGCTGATTGGCTGAAGAAGGAAATATGTGTATTGGGAATGTGTAATGTGACGTTAGTCGGCTGGGTATCTGTACAGAATAAAGAACTTTGTTTTCCTGCGGTCTGTGTCCGGAGTCCATTGCTGGTTTCCCAAAGCTATTTCCCCGCTACGTTTCCTGGTGCGTTGGCCGTAGGCGTGACTACCGAGACAGGTGTTTTCCACCGCAGCCCGCTGGGACCGCTGTGGAGCCGGCCCCTCGGATCGCTGCCGTGTCTCAGGAAGCCACCGGACATTTGTCTTGGAGACTACGCTACATCTTCGCCGCCAGCTCCGAGGCGACCCTGGCGGAGCCTTGAACCCGGAGACTTGGGAACCAAACCTTGGGGGGCCCCACTTCAGAACCAGGTGAGAGATCTTGGCCTTATGGTTTATGGGATAACCGTCTGTTAGCCAGAAAGGACCTCTCGACGGTTCGTGAGAGAAGGGGAGCTTGATCACCTCCCGAGGGGAACCCCGATTGGATGATAGTGCATCCAAGACCGGTATGCCTCAGGGAGTCAGTAATTTCCGGTGGTAGAGTCAGTGTGTTTGTGGTTGAATGTGACGTTGCCCGGCAACGAGGCGAGAGTGGGCCCTGTGTAGGTGCAGTTCTCGGCCAGGTGTCGAGTCACCGATAAGTGAAATTGTTGTTTTACCACTCAGTGTATACTCCCAACTGTGACACTCAGTATAAACAAGATACATTCAGATTCAAATGAAAATGGCTGACAAAAGACGCACTAACCTCTATGGAGGACCTTGAGCAATCCCGAGAGTTAGGGTTGCCACCTGTCCAGGATTCACCCGGACAGTTCGGGTTTTGAATGCTGTGTCCGGGTTTCATGGCACCAGGAACCCGGACACAAGATATCAGGCAACCAAAATTAAGATAGGGGCTACTGGTCCCCCACTGAAAATAGTCTCAAATGTGTTATTTACATATTAATGGGTGGTGCCCATTACATATGAATAAGCCACGACTCATTCTCCCAAAAGAATATGTCCGTGTGACGATACAGTGTTCGGGTTTCGCTTGAAGAAAAGGTGGCAACCCTAGCGAGAGTGCAGGACACAATTCTATGAGAGACTGATAACTAATGCTGTGTTTTTTTAGTCAGTCTAAGAACTGAGATGGGAAGGTTTCACACTGCTTTTTCTTTTATCGAAGCCCGTGGAACGTGCGTCTAAACAAACTTCCCCCCGTGAACACAAAAAGTGAACCGTGAAATCACAGCACACAAAACGTGCACAAGGGTGCTTGGTCCTTCAATAAAGAAGGGACCTAGATTCCCGAACTAGGTCCCTGGCTCCTGACAGGGGTTGAGACTGTTGGTCCACCAACCCGAAGGCCGGTGGACCCCAATCCTTCGGGGACCTGCCGCAACAGGTCCCACACAGTACTAGGCAGGGGGGATCTCCCGAAGAGTGACTCCCCTCCAGGGTGGGAGGAGACAGAGAACCCTATATAAGGGCACAGAATCTCCTCCCTACCTCAGGAATAGGCCCCAAATAAACCTGCACCTTCAGCATCTGTGGGTCAAAATTTAAAATAAAAACGTGCCAATCGTGCATGGAGTGCTTAAATAAAGCTAAAGTGCCAGCGCACCACTCTGACAGGCCTTAGGGGCCGGAGTGCAAAAAAATTGCCCCAGACTACCCATAAGGCCTGTCTTGGAGGCGAAGTGCAGAAAATTGCAATATGGTGTGTGACCGAGTGATCGGTGAGTCAATGTGGGGTCCCACACCCAAGTGAAAGTCTAAGCACCCCTGGGACGCCACCCCCAGGGGGCACAACACCACAACGCTTCTGCCGCCCCCCGAACCCTCCAGCCTCGACCAAGCTTCGTATCCATTCAGTCAGAAAGCCAGTACCGGGCTGTTCCCCTCTCACAGGAAGCAACCCAGTACGCTCTTTCACTTCAGCGAGTACTGAGTAACCATCCCCCGCAAGGACGGTTCTTTTCCCCACCGAAAACTGATAAGACCAGATACTACACCGGATCTTAGCCAAAAGGCCGAGAAGCGACACTGCTGCTAGAAACTTAGACAAAGGGAAGTGGTTTGCTGGCAGAAGATTTATGAAAGCAGAGAACGCCGCAATAGAGTACTTGAGGGAGATTATGTGTCACAATTGGGGAGAAATCAATGTGCATATTGCGAGAGACACTGTAGGAGAGATTGTTCCCCAAAGAGGCCCCCGGGAGACAGGGACCGGACCCTATGAGAAGGGAAGATCAGGTCCAGAACGGACGATGTGAGAGGCCCAGACAGGAAGACGTGTAGGCAGATTTTGTGGGACGGACAGACTCCGTGTATCCGGCATAGAGGTCCCCGTTGGGATTGCGCACCGGCATAGAGGTACCCGTTGGGATTGCGCACCGGCATAGAGGTACCCGTTGCGATTGCGCACCGGCATAGAGGTCCCCGTTGGGATTGTGCATCGGCATAGAGGTCCCCGTTGGGATTGTGCGGTACCCGTTGGGATTGCGCACCGGCATAGAGGTCCCCGTTGGGATTGCGCACCGGCATAGAGGTCCCCGTTGGGATTGTGCACCGGCATAGAGGTCCCCGTTGGGATTGCGCACCGGCATAGACGTCCCAGTTGGCATTGCGCACGGCATAGAGGTCCCCGTTGGGATTACGCACCGGCATAGAAGTACCCGTTGGGATTGCGCACTGGCATAGAGGTCCCCGATGGGATTGCTCACTGACATAGAGGTCCCCGTTGGGATTGTGCATCGGCATAGAGGTCCCCGTTGGGATTGTGCACCGGCATAGAGGTCCCCGTTGGGATTGTGCACCGGCATAGAGGTCCCCGTTGGGATTGTGCACCGGCATAGAGGTCCCCGTTGGGATAAATTTGGGTTTGATTTATGTAGTTTTCGTATTATTTCTTTATATCTCTTCGTTGTTTTGAGTTTTTCCTCATGAAGAAGCCGCCGTCGGCATATTGAGAAACGTAGGCTGCAGTCTTCATGTTCTCCACAAGGTGGTGATCCTGGGTACTGGCGGTGGAACGCACAGACAGGTAGTGACATAATACAAAGACAGGAAGTGATTGAAGATAGAGACAGGAAGTGATGTCACCTATAAATAGGAACTTCCAGGGAGCTGTAAGGTGTGAGGAGACATTGCCGGAACTGGCAGCAGAGGAAGTAATAAGGTATTTTATATTTATACCCAGTAACTCTCCTCCCCCCACAAGTTTTATTTGGTCCCCCCATATCCACTATGATGTCTTTGATCTCCATCACATGTTGCTACCCATATATAGAGGATACATACATCCTAAATATAGAGCCATTTATCCAACTGTCCTTCCAGAGCCGCCATTTATAGACCTCATACATCCTAAATATAGAGCCATTTATCCAACTGTCCATCCAGAGCCGCCATTTATAGACCCCATACATCCTAAATATAGAGACATTTATCCAACTGTCCATCCCAGGCCAGTCCAGATAATTCTCAGCTTGTTATCCATCTGCAGAGAGGAGCGTCCGGTATAAATGACATGAGCACATCATTGAGGATGGGGGAGGACCAAAGTCACCTGACTGAGAGGATATTGAACCTCACACTGGAGATCATCTTCTTGCTGTCCGGAGAGGTGAGGAGGATTCTGGGAGGTGATAATTGTTATGTTCTCTCTTCACACAGGATTATAAAGTAGTGCAGAAAATATCTGGTGAGCCATTAACACCCAACAAATGTCTTCATGGGGCATCACCCATCACAGAGCCTCCACCTCACCGCCTGACAATAGAGATCAACAGAGCCAAGAAGATCCTAGAAGTCACCAAGAAGATGATGGAGCTGCTGACAGGAGAGGTGAGCGGTGCCGGGGATTCTGGGACATGATCCAGGAACAGACAAGGGGCGTGTCTGGGTGGTGACGGGAGAGGTGAGCGGTGCCGGGAATTCTGGGACATGATCCAGGAACAGACAAGGGGCGTGTCTGGGTGGTGACTGTATCATTGTGTGTGTCAGGTTCCTATAAGGTGTCAGGATGTCTCTGTCTATCTCTCCATGGAGGAGTGGGAGTATCTAGAAGGACACCGGGATCTCTACAAGGACGTGGTGATGGAGAATGCCCCGCCCCTCACATCACCGGGTAAGAGGAGAGAGCAGTACGGAGGCTCCACCTACATCCCCCATCATCTGATACACACATAGAAACAATGTATTCAGTCAGTGTGTGTGTTTCCTACAGATGGATCCAGTAAGAGGAACCCACCAGAGAGATGTCCCCGTCCTCTGTATTCCCGGGATCCCACCCAGGAAGATCTCACCCTCCCCCACCATGATCAGGTAGGTGGAACTCAACATGTTGACCTAAAACATTATTCCAAGCTATGAGATGATATTCCTGTATTTAAACTCTTTTTCCTTCTTATAAATGTGTTCTATCATCTTTGGGGGTTTAGGGTGAAGAACTGGAAGACATGAAAGTTGAGGATAAAGAGGAAGAAGAAGAAGAGACATTGGTGGGAGGAGCTCAGCAGTCTATGGAGGAGGGGGAGGTGACGGTGAAGAGTAAACAGGAGGAATCTTCTCTACATATGGACACAAGTGAGTTATAAACACTGAATTTAGAGATGGTTCACATCTACATTTTGCTTTTCGGAGTATAAAATATGTATTTCTATGGGTAAAAAAGAAAAAACAATCCACAGTTGGTGAAGAGAAAAGCATATCTAAATTCACTAACCAGCTCCAGTAACATGTTTACAGTCCCTGACCCCTTGGTGATGTCAGTAGACACACTGGAGGCCCTATATGTAGTTAAGTTGGCCAATATAACGTCATGTCCCCAACACATGAGGAGGAGATACTGGACACCATATGAAGGTCCATCTCCATTCCTCAATATAACGTCATGTGACCAACAAATGAGGAGGAGATACTGTACACCATATGAAGGTCCATCTCCATTCCTCAATATAACGTCATGTGACCAACAAATGAGGAGGAGATACTGGACACCATATGAAGGTCCATCTCCATTCCTCAATATAACGTCATGTGACCATTTCTTTCCAACAGATCCTGAGGAATCTTCTCATCAATCACATACTATTAGTCACATTGCGGAGAGATCAAGAGATCCACCTACTCCCGAGGAACCTTCCCGAGTAAACCATGAAGGAGATCACACAACACAGAGTTCATTCTCATCTTTACAATGCGAGAAATCTCCCGGTGAACAGAGAATGATTCTTGGACAACAGAGAAGTCCTAAGGGCGAGCGTCGTTTTTCATGTACAGAGTGCGGGAAAAGTTTTATGAGAAAGGGACCCCTTAACAGACACCAGAGATTTCACACAGGTGAGCGCCCTTTCTCATGTCCTGAGTGCAGGAAATCTTTCACTATGAAAGCAGATCTTCTTAGGCACAAAATTATTCACACGGGCGAGCGCCCTTTCTCGTGTACTGAGTGCAAAAAGTGTTTCTCCCGCAAAACAGACCTTCTTATACACCAGAAAATCCACACGGGTGAGCGTCCTTTCGTATGTTCAGAGTGCGGGAAAAGCTTCTTTCGCAAAGCAGACCTTGTTATTCACCAGAGAACTCACACAGGTGAGCGTCCATTTTTATGTACACAGTGTGGGAAAGGTTTCCATAACAAAAAATACTTTCTCAATCACCAGAGATGTCACACCGGTGAGCGTCTTTTCTCATGTGCAGAGTGCGGGAAATCTTACAGTCAAAAAGGAGACCTTCTTAAACACCAGAGAATTCACACAGGTGAATGTCCTTTCGTATGTCAAGAGTGCGGGAAAACTTGCACTGGGAAAACAGACCTGCTTAGACACCAGAGAGTACACACGGGTGAGCGTCCTTTTTCATGTTTGGAGTGTGGGAAAAGTTTCCGTTACGAAAAAGATTTTCTCAGTCACCAGAGAGGTCACACTGGTGAGCGTCCTTTTTCGTGTTCACTGTGTGGGAAATGTTTCCTTTACAAAAAAGACCTTCTCTTTCACCAAAGAGGTCACACTGGTGAGCGTCCTTTCTCATGTTCAGAGTGCGAGAAATCTTACATTCAAAAAGGAGACCTTCTTAAACACCAGAGAATTCACACGGGCTGTTATCCTGTTTCATGTTCAGAGTGTGGGAAATGTTTCCATAATAAAGGAACATTTGTCATACACCAGAGAATTCACACAGGTGAGCGCCCTTTTTCATGTCTAGAGTGCGGGAAAACTTACATTTCCAATGGAACCCTTCTTAGACACCAAAGAATCCACACGGGTGAGCGCCCTTTTTTATGTCCAGAGTGTGGGAAATCTTTCACTTCAAAAGGAGGCCTTCTTAAACATCAGAAGATTCACACAGGTGAACGCCCATTCTTATGTTCTGAGTGCGGGAAAGCTTTCACTTCGAATGGAGACCTCCTTACACACCAGAGAATTCACACGGGTGTGCGTCCCTATTCATGTTCAATGTGTGGGAAATGTTTCCATAATAAAGGCACACTTGTTGAACACCAGAGAACTCACACAGGTGAGCGCCCTTTCTTATGTCCAGAGTGCGGGAAAACTTTCGCTTCCAAAGGAGCCCTTGTTAAACACCAGAGGATTCACACTGGTGAGCGCCCTTTCTTATGTCGGGAGTGCTGGAAAACGTTCACTTCGAGTGGAGACCTCCTTACACACCAGAGAATTCACACGGGTGTGCGTCCCTATTCATGTTCTGTGTGTGGGAAATGTTTTTATACTAAAGGAACCCTTGTTATACACCAGAGAATTCACACGGGCGAGCGTCCTTTCTCATGTTCACAGTGCAGGAAATGTTTTACACAGAAAGGAATCTTGACTAGACATCTAAAAACTCATGCTAACTAGCACCCTTTCTCATATTCTGAGTGTGGAAAAGGTTTCTATGGTAAAGAAGAACTTCGTATGCATCAGAGATGCCACAGTGGTCAGGCTTCTTTGTTGTGTTCAGGGTGTGGGAAATGTATTTCACAAAAAGAAATCTAAATTAGACATCAGAGAACGCACAGCAGCTGATTGTGTTGAAAAATGCATGTTGGTTTTACAGGAAGAGCCGAACATTTAGAGGAACATCCGAACCAATCAGGATTTCTTAATCGTTCATCAAGGGACAAAGGTCCAGACGGTTTCTGAGATTAATGGGTTTTACTGCTTCCTACAGGAGATTGGACACTGGCAAAAAAATAATAATCTGTTATTCAGCCAGGATAACCTTTCCCGCACCCATGAGTTTAGTTTCTTCATTCACCAGCCAATGTGTGATTCTTAATGAGCGGTATGGTCATTACTCCAGTTATAAAAGATTTTATACAAAACCAGACTCAAAGTTTTATTGTCTGTTATTCTTATTTTCTCAAATAAACATATACGCCCTCCACACTTTTACAGTGTTCTGAGTCCTTTTTTTTTTAAAACAAACGCATGGACAGGTGTCAGCCGGGACTCTGGCACAGGAAGTATGGGGCGGGTAGAGCAGAGCGGCAAAGATGGGGACTATGATGAAGCAAAATATGGATCTGCATCAGCGGGAACTGTGGATGTACATTGGTGAGGACTGTGGATGTACATCAGTGAGGACTGGGGATGTACATCAGTGAGGACTGTGGATGTACATCAGTGAGGACTGGGGATGTACAACAGTGAGGACTGGGGATGTACATCAGTGAGGACTGTGGATGTACATCAGTGAGGACTGTGGATGTACATCGGTGAGGACTGTGGATGTACATCAGTGAGGACTGTGGATGTACATCGGTGAGGACTGTGGATGTACATCAGTGAGGACTGTGGATGTACATCAGTGAGGACTGTGGATGTACATCAGTGAGGACTGTGGATGTACATCAGTGAGGACTGTGGATGTACATCAGTGAGGACTGTGGATGTACATCAGTGAGGACTGTGGATGTACATCAGTGAGGACTGTGGATGTACATCAGTGAGGACTGTGGATGTACATCAGTGAGGACTGTGGATGTACATCAGTGAGGACTGTGGATGTACATCAGTGAGGACTGTGGATGTACATCAGTGAGGACTGTGGATGTACATCAGTGAGGACTGTGGATGTACATCAGTGAGGACTGTGGATGTACATCAGTGAGGACTGTGGATGTACATCAGTGAGGACTGTGGATGTACATCAGTGAGGACTGTGGATGTACATCAGTGAGGACTGTGGATGTACATCAGTGAGGACTGTGGATGTACATCAGTGAGGACTGTGGATGTACATCAGTGAGGACTGTGGATATACATCAGTGAGGACTGTGGATGTACATCAGTGAGGACTGTGGATGTACATCAGTGAGGACTGTGGATGTACATCAGTGAGGACTGTGGATGTACATCAGTGAGGACTGTGGATGTACATCAGTGAGGACTGTGGATGTACATCAGTGAGGACTGTGGATGTACATCAGTGAGGACTGTGGATGTACATCGGTAAAGAGTGTGGATGTACATCGGTAAAGAGTGTGGATATACATCAGTGAGGACTGGGGATGTACATCAGTGAGGACTGTGGATGTACATCAGTGAGGACTGTGGATGTACATCAGTGAGGGCTGTGGATGTACATCGGTAAGGAGTGTGGATATACATCGGTGAGGACTGTGGATGTACATCAGTGAGGACTGGGGATGTACATCAGTGAGGACTGTGGATGTACATCAGTGAGGACTGGGGATGTACATCAGTGGGGACTGTGGATGTACATCAGTGGGGACTGTGGATGTACATCAGTGGGGACTGGGGATGTACATCGGTGTGGACTGTGTCAATAGGGACTGTAGTGCAGCAAAGATGAGGGACTATGAATCAGCGGGAACTGTGGATATACAATATCTCACAGAAGTGAGTCCCCCCCCCTCTAATTGGATGATATCATGTCATATGACGACACAGAAGAGATGACACGTTGCTACAATGTAAAGTAGTGAGTGCGCAGCTTGTATATCAGTGTACATTTCCTCCAAATAACTCGACACTATTAATGTCTAAACCGCTAAACGCCCCTAAGTGAAAATGTCCAAATTGGGCGCAAAGTGTGAATATTTCGTGTGGCCGCCGTTATTTTCCAGCACTGCCTTCACCCTCTTGGGCATGGAGGTCACCAGAGCTTCCCAGGTTGCCTCCTCCATGACGACATCACGGAGCTGGTGGATGTTAGAGACCTTGCGCTCCTCCTCCTTCCGTTTGAGGATGCCCCACATATACTCCATAGGGTTTAGGTCTGGAGACATGCTTAGCCAGTCCATCACCTTCACCCTCAGCTTCTTTAGCAAGTCAGTGGTGGTCCTGGAGGTGTGTTTGGGGTCGTTATCATGTTGGAATACTGCCCTGCGGCCCAGTCTCCGGGGGGAGGGGATCGTGCTCTGCTTCAGTATGTCCCTCTCATCGTGGTTCATCCAAAATTGCAGAAATGAACTCCTTGGAAGATCTCATCTGTCTTCTTATAATCTAGAGAGGAGTAACACCGTAAGACATGGTTCTACTGGAAGGCCTTTACTTCTTCTGATGAGTCGGCTTCCATTTTTCAAGTCCCCGAAGCGGGGCCTAGGGCTCTGTTCTCACCTGTCTGCCCTACGCTCCCTCCGGTTTCCTCACCTTACTCTACCTCTCCTCTTCTCCTCCCGTGTTTCTTCTCTCTCTTTCCTTTCTGATCTCTCTTTTGTCCCCAATGGTTCCTCTCTCGACTATTGGTTTAAAGGTTGTGATTGAAGTTGTACTAGAGCACTCCATTGGTTCTCATGTAGCGCTCACCCCCGAAGGAGCCGCTGGTTGCCCGGTTCATCTCTAGTCTGTTCTTCAGCTGCCCACCCATTAGCACTAACCGCCCTTCTTCTGGTGCCCACAGACTGCTGTCCACTCCGGTAGTATAATGCCAAGTAACGTTTTATTGAACATCTTCACTGGGGAGAGAGGGTATGGGGGATTCTAAGCTTCCAGAGGTAACTGACAAGAGCTCCAGACTCCAGACCTGGTTGGCATATCAATGTAGATCCACTTGGGAGGCAGCAAACAGCAACTGAAGTAGTAGATGAGCAGGATGGATACAGATCCTCAACAGGACCAACCGACCATCCTTCTGAAGTCCTCTTAGTTCCAGAGCCAGCATTGGTCCTGAGTCTCTTCCTCTATCAGCAACCCAGACCGCCTTCATTTTGGAGGTCTCGGTGAAACCTTTCCCTCACACCAGCCCATGCCCACCCCCAGGCCTCAGACCTAGCCTGGGGGGCAGGCTGAATAGCACCCAGCCCTATTCCATGGCTGGTCCTGGCTAGTCTGAGCACATGGCAAATCCCTCCAGTATATGTGCCCTATCCCAGCATGCACCACTGGCTGAGAGAGGCCGCTGTCGGCATATTGAGAAACGTAGGCTGCAGTTTCTATATTCTCCACAAGGTGGCGATCCTGGGTACTGGCGGTGGTCGGTGGAACGCACAGACAGGAAGTGATATAGAACAAAGACAGGATGTGATTGAAGTTAAAGACAGGAAGTGATGTCACCTATAACTAGGAACTTCCTATTGAGGTGGGGGGGAAGTAGAGCGGAGACATTGCTGGAACTGGCAGCCGAGGAGGTAATAAGATTTTATTCTATATATATTACATTTATCCAACTGTCCATCCAGAGCCGCCATTTATAGACCGGATACATACATTCCTGTCACACGGTGCCCCCCCCTCCCCCCATACATTCCTGTCATACAGTGTACTCCATATTCCTTTCAGTGGGGCCCTTCTCTCACCTGGCGAGTAGAGTTTGGCCAGCCCCCGGCCCCGGCATTCTTGGGGCCCCACCTAGGGCTGCCCTCCCTGCAGGTCTCCGCCAGGTCACTCTTAGCTATCGGCAGAGCCGGGGCTCACTGTCGGCTCCTCCATGCACTGTCCATGCCATCTTCCCTATACTCTGCTCACAACCTGATTGGGGGAAGGACAGAAGGGGGCGGGAAGCACCAGCCAATAGGCAGGGGAGAGGCTGAAAGACCGGCCAATCAACGTTCTCACACGCAAGGTAGGAATGTAATACGCACCCAATAGTGGAGAGGAGGGGGAGGAGCTCAGTAGGAGGCTGCTTGAGGACAGGGGAGACCAACGCCACTCCAAATCACACCCACCCATGCCACGCCCATCTGCCAACTTTGAGATGCCCCCACGAGTGCATGGCCGCCTCATGTGGTGTGCATTGGACCCAGTGGAAGGATTTTTGCCTACACGGGTGAAGGTGCATTTTTCCGGTTCTTACTTTTCTCCAAAATCATCACAGACCTGGAATTTCAGATGTTGGTAGATTCATCGAGATTAACGAGTCCTGTGATACAGTATACGGAGCCGTCTGAGGTGTCAGAACTACGGAGGAGACATCATTCATCCCGGGACAGTCCATCATTCTCAGTTTATTATCCTTCCACAGAGAGGAGCGTCCTTCATAGATCACATGACCACATCAACGAGGATGGAGGAGGACCAAAGTCACGTGACTGAGAGGATACTGAACTTCACCCTGGAGATCATCTACCTGCTGACCGGAGAGGTGAGGAGGATTCTGGGAAGTCACATGACATCACTCTGATCTCTATTCATAAAACACAGACCTGACCGGAGGGGTGATGAGGATTCTGGGAAGTCACATGACATCACTCTGATCTCTATTCATAAAACACAGACCTGACCGGAGGGGTGAGGAGGATTCTGGGAGGTCACATGACGTCACTCTGATCTCTATTCATAAAACACAGACCTGACCGGAGGGGTGAGGGGGATTCTGGGAGGTCACATGACATCACTCTGATCTCTATTCACACAGGATTGTAAAGTAGTGAAGAAAGTATCTGGTGATCCATTAACACCCAGCAGATGTCTTCAAGGGACATCACCGATCACAGAGCCTCCACCTCACCGCCTGACAACAGAGGTGAACAGAGCCAAGAAGATTCTAGAAGTCATCAAGAAGATGATGGCGCTGCTGACGGGAGAGGTGAGCGGTGCCGGGAATTCTGGGACATGATCCAGGAACAGACAAGGGGCGTGTCTGGGTGGTGACTGTATCATTGTGTGTGTCAGGTTCCTATAAGGTGTCAGGATGTCTCTGTCTATCTCTCCATGGAGGAGTGGGAGTATCTAGAAGGACACCGGGATCTCTACAAGGACGTGGTGATGGAGAATGCCCCGCCCCTCACATCACCGGGTAAGAGGAGAGAGCAGTACGGAGGCTCCGCCTACATCCCCCATCATAGAAACAATGTATTCAGTCAGTGTGTGTGTTTCCTACAGATGGATCCAGTAAGAGGAACCCACCAGAGAGATGTCCCCGTCCTCTGTATTCCCGGGACTCCGCCCAGGAAGATCTCACCCTCTCCCACCATGATCAGGTAGGTGGGTATCACTGTATGGAGCTTAATCTTCACTTAACTTTATTGGTATCACATATCAATAAAGTAAGCCATACATATGCAAGCATGTGTAATATTTTTGCAAGTAGTACCAAGAGAATGATGAAGAGTGGTTACGTCCTAAAAACGTTGTTGTTGCCTTTTTGTTGGCATTTCATTTTTTTTCATTCCATCTTTTTTTGGGATTTAGGTTGAAGATCTGAAAGACATCAAAGTTGAGGTTAAAGAGGAAGAAGAAGAGACGTTGGTGGGAGGAGCTCAGCAGTCTACGGAGGAGGGGGAGATGATGATGAAAAGTGAGCAGGAGGAATCTTCTCTACATACGGACACAAGTAAGTCATAAAAACTATCAGCAGAGACTGTTGACATTTTCATTTATCTTCTGAGTATAAACTTTGTATTGAAATAGACAACCCCCCCCGCCCCAAGAAATGCTGCAGCTGATCCAAATGAAGGCAGAAAACCGTCATAAAATTTTACCAAAATTTTTCCTACGAAAATAAAATAATTTCTTCCTGAGCCCAAAAGAAAATGTAGATAACACCCCAGAGAAACATATTCCTCTTTCTGCTGCCTTTGTTTGAGATAGACAACTTCAGTAAGGGAATTGCTGAAAGACTTTCACTGTTGTCAGCAAGGACACCATGTATGTTCTTACCCCAGTGCTCAATGTTCCCAACAAATAAGGTGGAGCCATCATACACCATATAGCTTCCAAATCTCCAGTCCTCAGCAGAAGAATGAAATCGTTGTACCCTGGAGGGTGTCCACTTGCTGTTTTGTCTCCACATCTCCACTTCTCTCGGGTTCCCCAGCAAAGACAGTTCCCTTTCTACCTCTGTGGGTGACCGGTTCACCATTGGACATCACCATTGGACATTGCAGGACCTTCACCTCCCAAAAGGTTTTGGCGTTTCCCTGTGACAGGTCTAGTGATCTGGTTCAATTGCTAGGTGTCCTGCTCTTGCACCAATTTTCCTTAGCAGTAGGGCATCACCATCTGATCCTCCTCAACTGGTGATCTCTACACTGAAGACTGAGGGTTCCGAACCTTGGTGCTCCTCATCTACTCCATGGCAGGAAGTCTCCATTGTTGGATATTGGATCAGCAGGCAAAACATGTCAGGATCCAGGGGGTAGCCCCTGTATGGGATAGAGTAAGTTTGGTGGTCTTTGTGGGACCTGATTGTAAATAGGTTCTTCCTCTGTGGATGATTGGCAGCCTCTTGAGTAAGTTCCTTCAAATTAAAGGAGAACTATGGGGTCAGTGCTTTTCCCCATAGTTCTCCTTAGGGTAACGGGAGGACACAAACTAGCGTCCTCCCGTCACCCTAAGCTCAGTATATAGGGAGCTACAGCTCCCTATATACTGAGATGCCTGAGCGGATCCCGACTTAGATGACAGGATCCACCCAGCTGCGTGAGTGACAGCTATCTAGAGGCAGAGCCAGCTGTGTCCGCTCCCTCCCCCGTCTGTTCCGCCAGTCAGCACTGGCAGCCCCTCCCCCCTCATAGTTCTCCTTTAATTCCTTGGCAAGTTCCAGGCAAGTTCTTTCTCACCATAGAACCTCTTTTCCCTGAATTCTAAGGGTTTGGATTATAAAAGCTTGGGCCTTCTCATATTACCTGGCTGGTCTTCTCTTCTGGACTTGTTTTGTTTTTGCCAAGTTTCCCTCAGGAGCTCTGGGTTTTTTGGGACTTTCTTTTTCTGATGACCCCTTCATGATGTAATGTTGGTCTAGTTGCCTCCATTACAAAAAAAAGTGTTGTCCCATCTATTTTTGATGGATCGTTGGTGGCCTCTTACAGTCCCCCACTGATTTGGGCTTAGTGTTCCTCCAGGTAGAATCCGTTCCCTTAGTGGTGAGATCTCAGTCCTGGTCCGGAGCACCAGATTGATCCTCTGTGGCTTTCCCTTGGTCGTGGCAGATCCTCTGTCCTGCAGAGGGCTTCACCTCGTCTGGCTCTGATTCAGGTATTGGTCCTCCAGATACTTCTGAGTTACATATTACATAATGGCTGTTGCCCATCCCTCAGTTGGTTGCCAAATTCTCCTTGGGCCTGTCAATGGCTGTTGCCCTTCTCTCAGTTGGTTCCCAAATTCTCCTTGGGCCTACCAATGGCTGTTGCCCATTCCCCAGTTGGTACCCAAATTCTCATTGGGCCTTCAATTGCTGTTGCCCATCCCTCAGTTGGTTCCCAAATTCTCCTTGGGCCTGTAAATGGCTGTTGCCCATCCCTCCGTTGTTTCTCAAATTCCCCTTGGACCTGTCAATGGCTGTTGCCCATCCCTCAGTTGGTTGCCAAATTCTCCTTGGGCCTGCCAATGGCTGTTGCCCATCCCTCAGTTGTTTCTCAAATTCCCTTTGGACCTGTCAATGGCTGTTGCCCATCCCTCAGTTGGTTGCCAAATTCTCCATGGGCCTGCCAATGGCTGTTGCCCACTGCTCCCTAAATTTCTTTTCTTGGAACCATTGAAGGACACAGGTTGCACCCCTCTGTGTTTTTTGCTGGCCCTCGGTGCTGCCTTCTCATGGTCCTGAAGCATGCTAGGTAGTGGGAAGGTTCTGCAGGGGCCGCCATGCTTTTTTTTCCGTTTGCCAGTGTCCCAACCTCCTGTAGGCAGCGGTATAGCCCAACTGTTTTTGAATTCCTGTGTCCCTCCATAGACTCCCAAGGAAAAGACTTTACGGTAGGTACAAAAATCCCGTCTTTGGCGTTCTCTTTGAACTTTGATGGCAGGTCGTCTTACAAAAATATTTCTTTCCAACAGATGGACACGATGTCTGGAATGGGGAAAGCCCTTGGGGACTTCCAGAAGATAATGGAAATGCGAAATCTTCTCCAAGAATAAATCCCATTGCTCCCAGTACACATTACAGACCTTACCCGTTGGAAGGATCAACAGGTCCCTCTAATCCCGAGGAATCATATAGTGCTACTGCAGATATCCTTCTGGGATCTCACAGTGCTGACACGTCAGCAGATCCATCTAATCCAAAGGACTCTTCTTCAAGCCATGAAGGAGTTTACACAGAAGCTCATTCGTTGTCCTCTTTAGAGTGCGAGAAATCTCTCAATGAATACATTACGCTTCTAACACAGCAGGGAAGTAGCCAGAGTGAGCGTCCCTTTTCGTGTTTAGTGTGCGGGAAAAGCTTCATTACGAAAGGATACCTTCACAAACACAAGAAGATTCACATGAGCGAGCGTCCGTACTCGTGCCCGGAGTGCGGGAAATGTTTTATTTACAACAGAGACCTTATCAATCACCAGAGGGGTCACACGGGTGAGCGTTGCTTCTCGTGCTCGGAGTGCGGGAAATCTTACATCCAGAGAGCGGACCTTCTTAACCACCAGCGGATTCACACGGGCCGCTACCCTTTTGCCTGTTCGGAGTGCGGCAAATGTTTCCATAAGAAAGGAAAACTCGTCGAACACCAGAGGAGTCACACGGGCGAGCGCCCTTTCTCCTGCGCGGAATGCCAAAAAGGCTTCTTCCGCAAGGCGGACCTCCTTACGCACCAGCGGATTCACACGGGCGAGCGGCCTTTCTCATGTTCAGAGTGCGGGAAAGGTTTCATCAAGAGAGCAGCCCTTGTCATACACCAGAGAGTTCACACGGGCGAGCGGCCGTTTTCGTGCTTAGAGTGCGGAAAAGGTTTCACGCATAAAGGGAACCTAATTAGTCATCAGAAGCACTCTCACACACCTGCTGAGGCTGCTGTTAAAAAATATGCTTAAGCTTTTAACAGGTGGAATCGTTCAGTCCATAAAACAGCCAAAATTGGACATTTCAGGTAAAGATGGAGACTGGTAGCTGAGTCATCCTTTGACACTTTGACACATCCTGCTGACATCTGCCCCCTACAGCTTCTGTCTCTCTTTCTCCACACATTGGAGGCGGGGTCCCGGTTGAGCTCCATAATTAAAGACAAATCCAGCAGGGACAGCGGGAGCCCACATCATGAACGTGGCCGGAACAAAGACTTAGGAACTAAAAGATCTAAGGAACCATTGTGACCAAGCAAGCTTCAGGTTCTCCAAGGACGGTGGGGCGAAAGGGCAGGTCGAGATTTTTCGGGGAGCGGTTTAATTATTACGGGGGTGCAGGACTTAAACTGCAGTGATATTTTATTCATGTCGATGACATAAATCAGTAACACGGCCAACTCAACAACACAGAACCTTCAAAGGCCGGTTAGTCATGGCAGTACCTAGACCGACCATCCAACAGGCGGGGCAACAAAGAAGCACCAGGCGACAGTACATAATACAAAGTGAGGACCCCGGTCTTTGTACTTTTATGCATCGAGGAGTCCTTTTGGCTTTGTGTCCACCTCGGTGGGTGGTGTTTAGGTTCAGCTCTTCCATGAAGACCCCTTCAAGACCTCTCAGAACAGTAGATGGGTGCACCAGGGTCCCATTTGGTACCACCAGCAGGGCCGAATTTACTCTCTCTGCTGCCCTACGCCCAGGTTCCTCAACCGGCCAAACCCCTCCAGCCCCCCATGGAGAGTGGCAGACCTGTAGGCTGCATACAAAACAAGCGGCGGCTCCCCGCTGTACATTTAGCCCTGCTTGCCCAAAGCAGGGACTAATGTAGAAAACAACTACCCACCCGGTGCCCAGAACTGCATGTCCCGGGCATCGGGAGATAGGAATTCCACACCTGCTGCCCCTCTACTCACTGCTGCCCCAAGGCCGGGCCTTGTGGGAAATCCGTCCCTGACCGCCAGTGTCCCATGTGGCCTCACCAGGGTCCCATGTGGCCTTACCAGGGTCCCATGTGGCCTCACCAGGGTCCCATGTGGTCTCTCCAGGGTCCCATGTGGTCTCTCCAGGGTCCCATGTGGTCTCACCAGGGTCCCATGTGGTCTCACCAGGGTCCCATGTGGTCTCTCCAGGGTCCCAAGTGGTCTCTCCAGGGTCCCAAGTGGTCTCTCCAGGGTCCCAAGTGGTCTCTCCAGGGGGGTCCCATGTGGTCTCTCCAGGGTCACAAGTGGTCTCTCCAGGGTCCCATGTGGTCTCACCAGGGTCCCATGTGGTCCCACCAGTTCTGAGCCCATAGCTGTGCCGGACGTCTTCCAAGAGAAGAAAGCTGTTGCCGTGTAGTTGGCAAAGAAAATTTGGATCTCGAGAATATCCTCTTCCGTAGACCCGCCGACGCAAAAGACCTCAACAAAACTCATCATGTGTTCCGCACTGCCCGGCGACGTGTTCATGATCTCATTCCGCTTTTGTAGTTCTTCCAAATCATGTTTTTAATATTAAAATTAAATGTATGTTTTTAATTATTTATTCTCGCGGATTTATGAAATTTAATATATGGAACCAAGTTGTAGAACGTTCGGAGAAGGCGGAGCCAAAGTATTGAAAGACAACACTGAGCTCTCAGCTCTGTACTCATGCTGTCCATTATGGTTCCCACCATCAGTATGAGGAGTTCCCGTGTCTATACAAGGCTGAGCCCATTATGAAGGGTTCCCACCATCAGTATGATAAGTTCCCGGGTCTGTACAAGGCTGAGCCCATTATGAGGGCTTCCCACCGTCATTATGATCAGTTCCCGGGTCTGTACAAGGCTGAGCCCATTATGAGGGCTTCCCACCGTCATTATGATCAGTTCCCGGGTCTGTACAAGGCTGAGCCCATTATGAGGGCTTCCCACCGTCATTATGATCAGTTCCCGGGTCTGTACAAGGCTGAGCCCATTATGAGGGCTTCCCACCGTCATTATGATCAGTTCCCGGGTCTGTACAAGGCTGAGCCCATTATGAGGGCTTCCCACCGTCATTATGATCAGTTCCCGGGTCTGTACAAGGCTGAGCCCATTATGAGGGCTTCCCACCGTCATTATGATCAGTTCCCGGGTCTGTACAAGGCTGAGCCCATTATGAGGGCTTCCCACCGTCATTATGATCAGTTCCCGGGTCTGTACAAGGCTGAGCCCATTATGAGGGCTTCCCACCGTCATTATGATCAGTTCCCGGGTCTGTACAAGGCTGAGCCCATTATGAGGGCTTCCCACCGTCATTATGATCAGTTCCCGGGTCTGTACAAGGCTGAGCCCATTATGAGGGCTTCCCACCGTCATTATGATCAGTTCCCGGGTCTGTACAAGGCTGAGCCCATTATGAGGGCTTCCCACCGTCATTATGATCAGTTCCCGGGTCTGTACAAGGCTGAGCCCATTATGAGGGCTTCCCACCGTCATTATGATCAGTTCCCGGGTCTGTACAAGGCTGAGCCCATTATGAGGGCTTCCCACCGTCATTATGATCAGTTCCCGGGTCTGTACAAGGCTGAGCCCATTATGAGGGCTTCCCACCGTCATTATGATCAGTTCCCGGGTCTGTACAAGGCTGAGCCCATTATGAGGGCTTCCCACCGTCATTATGATCAGTTCCCGGGTCTGTACAAGGCTGAGCCCATTATGAGGGCTTCCCACCGTCATTATGATCAGTTCCCGGGTCTGTACAAGGCTGAGCCCATTATGAGGGCTTCCCACCGTCATTATGATCAGTTCCCGGGTCTGTACAAGGCTGAGCCCATTATGAGGGCTTCCCACCGTCATTATGATCAGTTCCCGGGTCTGTACAAGGCTGAGCCCATTATGAGGGCTTCCCACCGTCATTATGATCAGTTCCCGGGTCTGTACAAGGCTGAGCCCATTATGAGGGCTTCCCACCGTCATTATGATCAGTTCCCGGGTCTGTACAAGGCTGAGCCCATTATGAGGGCTTCCCACCGTCATTATGATCAGTTCCCGGGTCTGTACAAGGCTGAGCCCATTATGAGGGCTTCCCACCGTCATTATGATCAGTTCCCGGGTCTGTACAAGGCTGAGCCCATTATGAGGGCTTCCCACCGTCATTATGATCAGTTCCCGGGTCTGTACAAGGCTGAGCCCATTATGAGGGCTTCCCACCGTCATTATGATCAGTTCCCGGGTCTGTACAAGGCTGAGCCCATTATGAGGGCTTCCCACCGTCATTATGATCAGTTCCCGGGTCTGTACAAGGCTGAGCCCATTATGAGGGCTTCCCACCGTCATTATGATCAGTTCCCGGGTCTGTACAAGGCTGAGCCCATTATGAGGGCTTCCCACCGTCATTATGATCAGTTCCCGGGTCTGTACAAGGCTGAGCCCATTATGAGGGCTTCCCACCGTCATTATGATCAGTTCCCGGGTCTGTACAAGGCTGAGCCCATTATGAGGGCTTCCCACCGTCATTATGATCAGTTCCCGGGTCTGTACAAGGCTGAGCCCATTATGAGGGGTTCCCACCATCATTAGGATTAGTTCCCGTGTCTGCCCAACAAGGGAATGGGACAATCTGGCATGTATAGGAACTGATGTTGGACTTGGTGTCCACCCAGGTTACAAAGTCTTTTCATCGGCAAGGGTCTGTTAACTTTATTCCCTGTGGCTCCAACAACGGTCATTTATTTGTCAAAGATAGGGGGCTATTGGTCGGGTCACTACTGAATGTTGAGCCCCAGTATCTACAATAATATCACTCCTGTGGCCCCCTATGGTGGCAGTGACCATGGGCTCCCAGGGGCCTAATAGAAAGAAGCCCGGTCGGCCTCAGTACAGATCGTCATCTGGATACACGGAGTCTGTCCGTCCCACAAAATCTGCCTACACGTCTTCCTGTCTGGGCCTCTCACATCGTCCGTTCTGGACCTGATCTTCCCTTCTCATAGGGTCCGGTCCCTGTCTCCCGGGGGCCTCTTTGGGGAACAATCTCTCCTACAGTGTCTCTCGCAATATGCACATTGATTTCTCCCCAATTGTGACACATAATCTCCCTCAAGTACTCTATTGCGGCGTTCTCTGCTTTCATAAATCTTCTGCCAGCAAACCACTTCCCTTTTTCTAAGTTTCTAGCAGCAGTGTTGAACGTTCCCGTCTCAGTTCTTAGACTGACTAAAAAAACACAGCATTAGTTATCAGTCTCTCATAGAATTGTGTCCTGCACTCTCGGGGGTTGCTAAAGGTCCTCCATAGAGGTTAGTGCGTAGAGGTCCTCCATAGAGGTCCTCCATAGAGGTTAGTGCGTAAAGGTCCTCCATAGAGGTCCTCCATAGAGGTTAGTGCGTAGAGGTGCTCCATAGAGGTCCTCCATAGAGGTTAGTGCGTAGAGGTCCTCCATAGAGGTTAGTGCGTAAAGGTCCTCCATAGAGGTTAGTGCGTAAAGGTCCTCCATAGAGGTTAGTGCGTAGAGGTCCTCCATAGAGGTTAGTGGGTAAAGGTCCTCCATAGAGGTTAGTGCGTAGAGGTCCTCCATAGAGGTTAGTGCGTAGAGGTCCTCCATAGAGGTTAGTG